ATACCAAAGAACACATAAAAAACAAACCTACACCTAAATATGATGTGAAACTATAAAACAACAAAAATATGTATAAGAAAAGAGACACACAATAAACTCACAGTATTTTAAAGCATCTCAAGAAAAAGAGCGATCACTAACAAAGAGACTTCAGATTAGATCCACATTGGAAAACAATGGCATTGTACTTGAAATATGCTTAGAATAAAATCTGTCAATGTAGAATTTTATATCTAGCAAATACATCTTTTAAGATTTAAAGCAAAATAGCATAATTTTTAAATAAAAACTGGGCACTCCACTAGAAAACTCTAATTAATGTGAATTTTAAAGGATGTGTTTTTTAACGGGAAGAAGGTGATGTCAGAGGGAAGATCAGAAATACAACAAGGAATTAAAAGCAAGGCAAACAAAGATCTGGGATTTTAAATAAACACTGATAGTACAATTATGTAAAATAACAATAATGTCTTGAGTTTTAAAATCAAGATAGAATTTAACAAATTTGAATTATGAATAAATACAACTTCAAGTGTAAGACAATTCTCTTTCAACCAATGAATAACACTACAAAATTATCAAATTTCAAAGCACAGCAACATAAAAACTATTCACATTTTACCACACATCAATAATGTGAAAATCAATACTAAAAAAAGAAAATCACTATATTAGAATTAGAAACAACTAACTACAAACTCATGGAAAAATGTTTAGAATTGAAAAATAAGAAAATACCATATACCTAAATGTGGGAGATGGAGTTAAAGTAATACTAAGAGGAAAAATTTTAATATTAACTGTTTATATTAGGGAAAACAAAAAACTGAATATTAGTACAGTACATATCCATTTCAAGAAATTGAAAAAAATAAATTAAAAAAACTGACAGTAAATTTTAAAAAACTAAAAACAAAATTTAAAGAAAGTAAAGGAAAGTTTAAAGGTAAGAATATAAATTAATGAATAAAAAATCATGATATAAGACAGAAACAATGCAAAAAAAATTGTTCACAGGAGAGGAATAGTAAAATCAATAAATTGATATTTCAAATATGGAAGACACATAAATGAAGGAGGTCAACACAACTACAGAAGACTAAAAAATCATGTATGTTATGTAAAAGAAAAGAGACATACAATAAACTCACAGTGTATTATTCAGATAAAAAAATTTTAACTAATAAAAAAGAAAAATCATCAAAAACTATAAATAAGTACAATGATTCAAGAAAAAACAGAAAAACTAAATAATCTCATTACTATTAAATAAACCAATCAGTAAGTAGAAAAAAATTTAAATCAATAGCGGGGGGGGGGGGCGGGGGCCGGGGCCGGGACCGGACCCAAAAGTCCCAAATAATTTTACTGGTAAGTTTAATCAAATATTCATACAAATATCTTTCACAAGCAAAATAAAGATGCAAAAATCCTAAAAATTAGAAAACCAAATCTAGCAATGCATCAAAATGTTACAATCATTATTTTAAGCATGCTAAACTGAGTGAAAAGAAGAAAATTTACTATCAACAAAAATAATATGATCAATTCAACAGATATTGATAAAATTCACTATCTATTCATAATTAAAATCATACCAAATCAGGACCAGAAGGGAGTATTCTACACCAAGTAAAGGGTATTCTCCAAAATCCTATAACAAATATCTCATTTATACTCCAGCACACTCCATTCTTCTGTTCCTCAAAAACAACAAACTCAATCTCACTTTAGATGCTTTACAGAAACTTCTTTCTGCCTCCAACAGATGTTCTTATGGTTGGCTCTTTTTTCTCACTCTTTTCTCAGCTCAGAAACAGTTTCAATGGGCTTTTCCTGAACCCTCAGCACCAACTCCTCCAAACTTTATAAATTCTATAATTTTATTTAGTACAAGTTTAGCCACCATCAGCTGACTTGGGTTGTTTATAATTTGTTAAGACTGGATAAATCTCATTTTGTGCAAATGACAAAACACTCTCTAGAACAGATATTTGCTCAACAGAACAATCAGGTAAAAGACTACCTGCTTTTAGAATACTATACATTTAGAATACTAGAATACTATGTATTCTAAATACTGAAGATATGGCCAAAAAGAGTATACAAATTATACTTCCATTAACAGGGCATGACAGCATCCATTTCCTTATACTTTCATATTACTGGGGTTTATTTTTAAATTTTCCTAAGCTATTTTATACTTATGGGCCATTTATTTTAATTTTGTGTGCAATTTCTTTGCTCATTTTTACATTAGGTTGCTTACAAATTTTTACTCATTTGTGTGAGGCATTGATATTTCAGTAATTTTAAAACCTGTACTATTTTTGTGCTAAAAATATTTTCACCCATTTATTGCTTAACTAAGGTATCACTATTTTTAACTGGCTTTTAAACAGCCTAAATTTCCTATTTGACTTTTACTGACTACTGGAATTTTTGTTCTGGTTAAAAAGGACTTCCCCATTCCTAATGTTTAAAAAATATTCTGTATTTCTATTATTTTCTAAATTAGATAAATTTTCACTTGACATTTAATATACCTAGATTTTATCTACATGTCTGATATTAGACAAAGTTCTTAATTCAGTTAAAAAATTAATAGCCAACTTTCCCAATTCAATTTGAATGATTTATACCTGTGATATGGTAATATATTTAAAAATACATATTTGGCCTCTGCCTCCATTCTGGGCACAGAACTCCTAATCCCTTGGAATTTCCTGGGTAATAGGAGTGCCTTTTGATCTAAGGAGATAACTCTTGAGGCTTCTTGAATAGGGGCTGGTCACCAAAATGACCAAACCATTATTAAAAGACTAGTACTTTCAGTACCACCCCACACATACCCTCTGGGAAGGGGAAGGAAGGCTGAGATTGAGTTAATAATCAGTCATGCCTAAGTGATGAATCCTTCAACAACAACAACAAAAAAGAATCCCCAAGTTATGAAGTTTAGAAAGCATCAGAGTGTGCAAAAAGGGTGGTACACTTCAATTCTATGAGGACAAAAGCTTTCATGTCTCTTCCAGACCTTGTCCTATCTCTCTTTATTTGGTTGTTCATTCATTTGTATCCTCTGTAGAATCTTTTATAATAAATTGGTAAAACTAAATTCTTTGAGTTGACTTAGCAAATAACTGAACCCAAGGAAGGAAACATGAGAATCCCAATTTATAGCTTGTTGTCAGAAATGCAGATCACAAAATGAAATTTGCAAATGGCCTTGATGGTGCAGTCTTGAGGAACTGAGCCCTTAACCTTTGGACTCTGCACCAACTCTAGTTAGTATCAGACCTAAACTGAATTGCAGAGTATAGAGAAAAACACCCATACATCTGGTGTAAGACATGTGCTATCTGGTGTAAGACATGTGCTGTCAGGTGAGTGTTATGTTGTATTAAATGTGAGAGGATCAAAAACAATTTATTTTTTCCTATTTCTCATAATACCTTACACTAAAACAGCTACAGTTACAATAAGTTAAATTCTCATATACATTTACATCTTTTCTTGGTTTCTCCATTTGTTCCTCTAAACTTTTATATCAGTTCTACATCAACAGTATTACAGTATACTTTAATATCCAGTACATAAAAGTCTTATTCACAATTCTGCTTTTTCAAATTCTTGGGTTTGCTGGCACACTTATTTCTCAAGATGAAATTCAGAATTAACTTGCAACTTGTAAACTTACCTGTTGAGACTCTTGCTGGAATTCTATCAAACATACTCAATAATTTAGAGAAGAACTAATATATTAATGATAACATTAATCTTATGTTTTTAGAACAATAATCTGCTTTTCTATTCAGGTCTTGGTTTTATATAAAATAGTCTTTTTTTTAGTAAGGTGGGTATAATTATTTTTTTACTTCCTATGTCTATTTCTCATCTGTAATAAATAAAAATTTTCCAACAATTTTAGGCAAATATTATTTCCTTATATTCTGTAAAATGATAAGGCCTTCAGATGTACCTTTAAAAGTTTCTCAGCTCAAAAGTTACAAAACTTTCCAAAAATATTCCAAAACATCCTTAAAAATAATCTAAATAACGTATCAAAAAGACAAAATGCATGTACAAGGATTGTCCCCTTGATTTAATCACAAATAACAATTCTGATCTATCAGAAATAGCTCCCCAGAAGGAGATAACAATTGAGAATATGCAGGCTCAAAGGAAAAGAATATCGTGATAAATTATCAATATCTTGATAGGGGATGAAAAATGATAACAGAAATGTTGAGTATTCATTACATATGAAATTCATCAAATTATAGTAGAATTATATTGTATTTCAATAGTAGAATTATAGCAAGAAGGCTTTCGTTCTCAATATTACATACTTTGCATTTTTAAAAACTACCTATTTTAAAATTGGCAAAAGCTAACAGATGAAATATAGCAACTTCTTTTTTGTTTGTTTTTGGTACTGGGGATTAAACTCAGGGCCCTAAACCACTGAGCCATAGACAGGGTCTCACTAAGTTGCTTATTAGCATCTTGCAGCTGCTGAGGCTGGCTTTGAACTTGCAATCCTCCCGCCTCAGCTGCCCAAGTCTCTGTGATTACAGGTAGGCAATAGCAGCAACTCCTTTTTTAAAAAAATATTTTTAGTTGTAGATGGACACAATATCTTTAATTAATTAATTAATTTTTATGTGGTACTGAGGATCGAATCCAGAGCCTCACACATGCTAGGCAAGTGCTCTACCACTTTTCTACAACCCCAGCCCATGAACTTCTTAATGAAAATTTAGCAGTGGTATACAGAAATGTCCTTGAGAATTTTTCCAAAATAAAATTCTTATGATTAAGGTTTTAAAAGCTGCATTTAAAAAATTAAGTTTACATCAAGTTCTCTTCAAATATTACTTTCAATATTTATGCCATAATGTTCTATCAGTTCTTTTTTCCAAAGTCATCAGGAAAGCACAAATAGAAATTAAGAAATTATACAGAAAAAAGATGGTCTTAGGGCTTGTAACACTTACAATTCAATTTCAACCATGCCTTTCGAACATCCTCTCTTCACAAAAAACCCAACCTAATGTGTAAAAAAGAAAAAAATTAGTTGTATGATGACAGTCCCATGGTAACAGAAACTTGGAAAATCATATTTGTCAAATCAAGATTTACTTCAACAATTACTTGAATGTCTATTCCCACCACTTTCTAAAGGCATTCTTCTCAAATCTAGGTTCCTCTCTATTCCCTCCCACAAATAAGAACAGCTAAAATTGATGGAACTTCTATGTGCCAGGTAGTTAGATTCTTACATAGCTTGTGACAAAGCCAGTAAGTGTCAAAAAAATGGTGATAAAATAGGTGCTATAATACAACCACAAAGCCCTATACTAAACCTGATACTGAAGACTTCTGCAGAGTTGCACAGATTAAATGTTAAGTCACTCTAATATTAGCTGTTATTAATTACGGTTATTGTCACTGAGCCATCATTTAAAAAGGAGCAATATAATTATAGTAAAAGAGACAGTGGAGCTAGTTTCCATGCGACTATGAGCATAAGCATGAAAAAAGACCCTGGGCCTAAAAACCTCAGATTGGATCTTAATCATTAAGCTGTATGTATTCTCTGGGCCTTTTCATCCTCTGGGTCTCAATTCCATCATATGTAAAAGGAGTGGCTCGTAAGAATTAAGTGTAAGTGTTTATTAGCATAGCAGAATATGGTAAGGGCTTAGTAAATGTTAATGTTTTGGTTATAATCCTCATCACTGTTATTACCACTGTTAAAAGATTATTATTTGCAAGGTGTATTTTCTATTACTTTTAGTACTTATTGCTTAGTTACAGATTGATTTTTGTATTAAGAGCACTAACTTTAACATTCACGTCTAGATTCAAATCCCAACTCTACTACATACAAGTTTTATGATCTTGACCAGGTTATTTTAACTTTTTAAAATTCCTCAAAGACAGGGAAAACAATGGTATCTTTGTAGTAGCTAATTGTTACATTAGCTTGCAACAATTAAAACACTTAGTACAAATGAGAAGGAAAAAATTAGGAAGCAGTTTTTATTATAGCATTGCTTGTGTAAAATTTTATACTAGAATTCAAACAAAAATACAATATCAAAATATTTTTGCTAAGAACTTAAGCATTTCCTAATTACTAAATCTATGAATATCCCAAGGGCTGCAATGTGTGTCTAGAAATACTGTATCCACCACTTCCACTAAAAATCCCACCAACCCAAGGATGAGATGTAGTTTCTTTATGACAAAAATACAGAATATTTATAAAAATTATCATAGACAAATTCATGCCAAATGTACACTGCTTGGAATATAATCTAACAGACCATGAGACAGGCAAAAATCTAACTAATGATCTGGTAACTAAGAAACTATACATCAATATTCATAAAAATTGGTCCTTGTACAATTAACTATTGATCTTTGGGGATTAACTACTTCAACTCCTTTAAAGAAAAACTGTTCAGACCATTGTTCAAGGTTACAAAGCTAATTATTAATAATGAAAATATATTTTCCACTTCATAAATGCCTTCAATATAACATTGAAAACATTTTGAATGAGCTTATTTATAATCTTAAGGGGTATTTTCTTCAATCTCGTAACCCTATATTAAGTCTAGCTATAAAACTTTTAATATCATGTACATTTCAAGCTTTAAAAATAAATTTTACAACTAAATTCTCAAAAGATTTCTGGGGATTGAACCCAAGGGTGCTTTATACATCCCCAGGCCATTTCTTTTTTCACTTTGAAATGGGGTGTTGTTAAATTGCTGAGGGTCTCCTTTCATTGCTTAGACAGGCCTTGAACTTACAATCCTCCTGCTGAGCCACTGGAATTACAGGTGTGTACCACCAGGACTGTTTTTTTCCTGCCTATTTATATTCCAAGTTATTATTTCCTTATTATACAGTCTGGATATCAACATTTTGTTATACATTATGATACCAATCCCACATGTCTTAATTTTTCTAACTTCATATTAAATCTTTCTATCTGGTAGGGCAAGTTTTCCTACTTTCTCCTGTTTCTTTAAGATTACATTAGTGATACTCTTTTGTATCACTCTATATCAAATTCAAGCCTACCTTTAATTTGCTATATAGAATCCTGGGATTTTTACTAGAATAATATTAAAATATACAGATCAATGTGAAGAAAGACATTTTTATAAAAATAACATACAAAATATCTCTCCATTTACTCAAAACTTCAATGATTTTAAATAAAATTTTATAATTTCTGCACATAAATTTTTTTTGGTAGTGCTTAGGATCAAACCCAGGGTCTAGTGCATGCTACACAAGAATTTTACTGCTGAGCTACACCCCTAGTCTCTGCACATAGGTCTTATATGACTTCAATCAACTTATTTCTGTGCAACTTATTGCTAGTATTTAATAAATGATATGTATCTTAATTGCATTTTTTGTTCATTGTTATGTACAGAAACAAAACTGATTTTGGTCTAATCTTATATTTAGCAACCCTGATAAATTTCCACATTAATTCAGTCTTGCTCAGAGATCTTTTTTGATTTTTAGGCAAACATTCATACATATAATCTTAGAATGATAGGGTTTTTTTTTTTCAATTCTCTATCTTTTGTTTATGTTACTATTCTGCCCATAACTGTCAATACAATGTTAATAGTAGTCAAAGTAGATAACCTCAACTTGTTCTTGAGCTTGCTACATATTTTCATAATCTTTTATGAAATTAAGCAAGTTCCCTTTATTTCTTGTTAGTTTTAATCACAAGTTACTGTGGAATTTAACTGAATACTTTTTTCCATCTGTACTGAGATGATCATGCAGTTCTATTTTAAAACATATATTCATTTTTCCCAAATGAAATTCACTTTGGCCATGATATATTATGCATTTTATCTACAGGTTCAGTATTCCTTACCCAAAATATCTGGGACCAAAAGTGTTTCAGATTTTTATTCTTTTTATTTTTTATTTTTAAGAGTACTGGCATATAAATAATGAAGATATTGTGAGGATGGGACCCAAGTCTAAACACAAAATTCATTGTTTTACATACACTTAATACACATAGTCTAAAAGTAATTTTAGACTGGTATGTGTACATATTTTTTGAAGTACTGGGGATTGAGTCCAGGGGTACTCTACTAAGCTACATCCCCGGCACTTTTTATCTTTTATTTTGAGATGGGGTCTCACTAAGTTGCAGAGGCAGGCCTTGAACCTGAGGTCCTCTTCTGTCATCCCTCTCCATCTCCAGGAGCTGGGATTATAGGCATATATTACCATGCCTGGCTAAGAGAATATTTTTCATAATTTCATGCTTTCAGCAAAGGTAATGGTAAAAAATTCTTCATTTTGGTATTACATATTTTGGATTTTGGATTTCTGGATTAGGGAAGCTCAATTTTTCTTTCTTTAGTGAGGAGCTCAGATTTTGTTCATTTTTTTCCTGCTTCCATTCTAGGAAAAGTACTACTTAAATTCTGAATTCTGAAATTCATTATAAAATATGCATTTATGGATTTCTTTCATTTTTTCTATGCAGGATTTTTTAGGCTTCTTGAATGTGAAGACTCAAGGTTTCCAACATTTCTGGAAATTTCCTAATCATTCTTTGAATATTACCTCTTCCTTAGTTTACTAACTCCCCTTGGAACTGTAATTAGATATACACCTGACTATCTTCCTTTACCCACTTAACCTTGGTTATATATATTTTTTTTTTATCTCTCTATTACATTTTCAGAAACTTTTTCAAACACCTGAGTACACAAATTCTCTTCTCAAATATGTCTTCTTTGCTGCTTTATCTTTCTACCAAGTTCCTCTCCTTCATTAACAAACTTTTCACTTCTTTAAGCTCTATTTGATTATTTTTCGAATTAAACTGATCTTTTTGTCACTTATTTGTTGTACTTGTAAACTTATTTTATTTCCTCAAATTAAATACACTTAGTTTATATTATATATCTGCAAGCTTTGTAAGTCTGGTTTTTTTTTTTTATCTTATTTTACTCATATTCTCCTACGTTTTGTAATTTTTAGGTATCAATGTATTTCTTGAAACTTTGTTAAAATTCTTTAAGAACTGGATTAAATGTTCTTTCTTTTGTTGTTGTTGTCAACAACAGACCTTTATTTTATTTATTTATACGTGGTGCTGAGATTTGAACCCAGTGCCTCACACATGCTAGGCAAGTGCTCTACCACAGAACTACAACAGTAACCCCAAATGTTATTTTTCTTTAAAAGATTTAGATTGGTTCCTGCCAGGTGCCTATAGATATTACTAATTCACACCACCTTAAACTATCAAAATTTATGATCTTTAGGTCATACAAGTAATACAAACTCTGGCCCCAAACATGTGATTATGAAGTTTTAGGAAGACCTCCTTTTTCTCCCCAACTCTAGATCTAACAATGAGGAGTAAGTAAATCCCTTGTTCAATTCTATAGTATTGTTGTTAAATTTAACACATAGCACTACTAGATTTTATCTTCTAGACATTCTCTACCTTTAAATGCCCTAAACCTGTACAAAACAATTCAAAACAAGGCTTTAATGTACAAGGTATTGGCAAATGCCCCTGGGAGAAACTATTCCAGAACTTGCTTATGTCTTCAGATTCACACTGTTTTGTTTCTGCCCTTGGTCTGGCAATCCATTTTAAAAAAATAACATATTACATATCTAGGACTTCAATTAGTAGGTACTTGGAGAATTCTCTAAATATATGGTATAATACACTTCTATAAATGATAATCTCCTACCTTCTCCACCTGCCAAATTCATTCATTACATTCAAACACTACAAATTTGCTATATTCAAGAAACTGAGAAGTAGAAATTGATGTGTTTCTAAAAATAACTAATGAATTGAATTTTCCTAAAATGTTATTTACATGTATGTAAAAAAAAATGTAACAAAAAATCCCACCATATGGGAATATAACTATAATGCAATAATAAAAAGTGGAAAGAAAAAAAAAATGTAATCAAAGTTACTTACCTTATCTGCCCGTCCCATGAAAGCAGGTTTGCCAGCTAATCCAAGGCAAATGGCACACACGATGCTTGACTTCCCTGTTCCATTGGCTCCAATAATCATATTCAAGTGAGGTCCAGGAGTTACTTCACAGATATCATATGTTCTGTATTATAAAAGGGTAAAAATTTGAAGCAGGGTAAGAGGAGAAAAAAATATTTTCTTTAAAAAAGCACTGTGGGTCCAAACATGGTGGCATTTGTCTGTAATCCCACAAACTCAGGAGGCTAAGGCAGGAAGATCACAAATTCCAGGCCAGTCCTCAGCAACTTATTGAAGCCCTAAGCAACTTAGTGAGACCCCGCCTCAAAAGAAAAAAAGAGCTGGGAATGTAGGTCAGTGGTAAAGTGTTGCTGGGTTAAATCCCCAGTACCAAAAGAAAAAAACGCACTTCGGGGGAGGCAGGACACGACTGGGGACTGAACCCAGAACTTCACACATTAGACAAGTGCTCTACACTGAGCTACATTCTCAGCCATTTAAATTTTATTTTGAGACAGGGTCTTAGTAAGTTGCCCAGGCTGGTCTTGAACTTCTAATCCTCCTGCCTCAGCCTCCCAAGAAGCTGGGATTACAAGGGTACACATACCACCATGCCTGGCTCAAAAGCTCTTTTTTCTTGCTTTATATTATCATTATCTAAGACCTTCTGCGTGGGTTCTCTCTCATTCAGTGAGAACAGGGTAGAGGAGAGTGTGGCTTCGGAGTCGATAATCAAGACCTCCGGAGACCAAGCAGGAAGCAGGTCTGATTTTATTGCACAGTTACTATATATATATATAATCAGGTAGGAGCTAAGCAGATTACAGGCAGCCACCAATGCAATTTCTCCTAACTGTCCTTGCAGCAACCAATAGAGGAGTGGGTTGTGGAGCAAGCACAGGGACTGCAACATATGGCCTCATTATCAGGTAAGCAGACTACAGCTCATGTGCCTAACACAAGGGGAGTGGCCTGCCACTCAGATGCCCTTAACATGTCACCTATGCAGTACTCCATGCACTTGTCCCCACAACCTTCCTCAAATTCACTAAAAAAAAAAAAAAAAAGGTATTCTTACAAATTTGATGCAATTTATATGGCTTTTTGTTTGTTTGTTTAAGGGGAATGTTAGGGATCAAACCATGGCCTCCCATATGCTACTAAATACCCTACCACTAAGCGATACTCCAGTCTTATAGGATTTTTAATAGAGGGGAAAAAAAACTTATCAGTAGAAGAAATGAAAAGGTGATAATGCATATCAAAATAAGAACTTCTCTGTAAACCTAAGATTACTTATGTTTTTTCAAAAATAGGCCTATTATCACTGGGCATGGTGGCATACGCCTATTGATCCCTGTGACTTGGGAAGCTGAGGAGGAAGGGATTGCTAGGTTCAATACCAATCTCCACAACTTATTAAGATCCTAGCTCAAAATAAAAAATAGAAAGGGCCAGGCAGTGGCACATGCCTATAATCCCAGCAGCTCGGGAGGCTGAGGAAAGAGGATCCCAAGTTTAAAGCCAGCCTCAGCAAAAGTGAGGCACTGAGCAACTCAGTGAGACCCTGTCTCTAATGGGGATGTGGCTCAGTAGTTGAGTGCCCCCAGAATTCAATCTTCAGCATGTCCACCCTCTACAAGGAAG